TCGCCCTTCTGCTAAAAAATCTCAAATTCACTAATTTTTTCGAGAGAATTACTTCAAGATATTCAATTTTTATATAGTTAATTTCAATAAAAAGAAAACTATTGGTATAGTTAATATAGCTAATTAAAAGAAAAAATTTCTGATTTATAAATGTAAAAATTATTATAATATTCATATTTTATTTTTTCTTTGGGAACCTGTTTATATAAAACTGGTATAAAAAAATTAGAAACTTGCAATCTTAGAGTTCAAAAATTACATAGATAATCTGTTTATTTAATTGCGTTATGACATTACAAGAACATTTAGAGGTTTTTGAAAATTTCTCACAATTATTAGTTCTTTAAATACGTATCGAAGTCATCACTGATAGATCCAATCGAAATACTTTACAATTTATAAAGATCTATTTTTGAAATTTGACTAAATATTAGAACATTAAATAATGTAATAAAACTAATACATTTTGTGCATTGGATTTGAATTTGAAACTAATTGAGACGTCGGAGAACATTGTTGTAATACCGAAAATGGTAGCTCTATGAAAACGTGCTAAGCAAATATATATATTGTCGTCTTTGGAGAGCATTTTTAGTATTGTTCTTTGAGTACTGAGCATTTTGAATTTCCAAGCAATACTTTTAATAAAAAACTTTTTGGAAATATTGTGGGATTGGATTTACAAAGTTAAGTAATTATGTAAATATTATACAAATGCCTCTAGCCCACGAAAAAATCAAAGGAAAATAATCTTTATATTAGTATTAGTATGCATAATTAGATAATTGATTATTTAGTAACACTATTGTTGGAATATCTTTCATAAATATTTATGAAAATTAATTTGGTTTCTTTATTTCTAAAAAAAATCTTAACAAAGTTATTGTGGCAAAATTGAAATGTTTACATATTTTTCTTCGATTCTGAGTTATTATTTTAATTTTATCCGTGAAGCAATATATTGAACGACAAGCTCATTGATAAGCTTTCCAATTTTATATATATGTAAGTACATGTAACAATATTTACCGATCGTATTGTGTATACAATAGGTAGGTTACGTAATGGCAACAAATTTTGCATATCGAAATTTCAGTGGGAATACACTTTTCCATGGTAGGGAAGTGTACATAAACTATTTTTAGCAACCTGTCGGTCTGTCGGTCTGTGTGTGCACGCGTGTATCTCAAGTTAGGCTGAACCGATTTTAATGAAATTTTATATGTAAGTTTATTTTGGCTATGGCACGAATTGATCCCCTTTTGGGATGTATCAAGCTTCGGAAACTGCACTTTTTACCGGGTCTGTTTTACATTTTTGAACATTTTGAAGAAAATGTTCAACAGATTTATTTGAAATTTCATATATAAGCTTCGCTCGACCTTTCGCGAAACGTCCCAAATTTTAGAAGAAATCAGGCGTCAGCAACTAGACGTTTACTACGGGCCAAATATACATTTTTGCGTATATTAGGAGAATTTAAATATTATTTCATTGAAATTTAATATTTAAATTCTTCGTATTAAAACAATGAACATATAAATTTTTGTGAAATATCAAGGCTTGAAAACTGATCCGATTTTACATTTTTCACCATATCTACGGAACGAATTGATGCAGTTTTTTGAAATTTGATATTTGAGTTTTGGTTGTTACCGAAACTAGCTCGCGAGCGGGAATTCGGGTAGAACAAATCGGAACTCTACTAAGAGCCAAATTTACATTTTTCTAGGTGTGTTAACTAAAAACTCACTAACGCCCTAAAAATTGGAAAGAAATATTTAATAGGCATTTTTATAATATTCTGTAACACTTTCACTTAACTAGACAATACACATTGCGATCGGTTATATGCTGGCCACCTCAGATTTTTTTTTATCTTAGATATGTATTAGCACCACATAATTTTATGATACAAAATAACAGATGGAAAATGCATTGATATGAAAATATCTGAAAATGACACAAAAATATAAGTAGTAACTTAGTCGGCGATCTAACTTAACGTTGTAAAATGTAGATGAAATAAAAGGAAAATAACAATTACAAATAAATATTTCATTTTAAGAAATTTAAGGAACATAAGGTATAGTGATAGATATTGTATTAAAAAATTTATAACATGTTTACAGTTAATACGTTCATACGTAATACGTATTCGAAATATTGTAATATCATAAATGAAGTAATAATGCTCTATAATTCTTTTTTTTGAAAAATGATCACTTTCAGTTTCAGTTCAATTAAATAAGAAAGTTAATCATCTACGTCTCCGCACAAGCAAACTAACTTTGAATCTATTTTTAATAATAAATAATTCTTATAAAAATAAACTGTATACGAAATCAAATAATGTGCTACCAATCTTTAAAATAGTAAAGAAATTTTACTACTTTTTCAAAAAAACTACTCCATTTTCTATGTATATTGCAAAATGAAATGTACGTTTAAGCTAAATTATTTCAAAAATATTTCAAAGACCATAGCCAATCTGTTGATAGTATCTGTGACTTCAATTGTGCTTCATAAAAAGCTTAAGTACGGTATTACAATACCTTTACATTGTAAAAAAAACTGCTAAAGCTTTTGATGCATTTTTGAATACATTTTTAATAATATTAATACATACTTTGACGTTTGTTTGAAAATTTCAATTTAAAGTTCTGTGTAAATGTTAATTTTCAACAAACGTTACCACATCATTAAAAACATAGCATTTTTAATTCTGTATTTCAGTAAAAAAGCTTAATAACTGGCACTTTATTGCTGAAAATATATGCTTGTTTATTTAATTGTTTATTTCTGTGATACCCAATTTACTTTCATTTTACGTATCCACTACATATAAAGACGCATTTATGAAAAATGTACAATGTCAAGAGCTTTTACTCAACTTTTTGGAATTTGATACTTTGTAAAGTTTACGTCGTAAGCGCATTATTGAAATTATAGTATTTAAAAGACGTTAAAAATTTTAATATCTATAGTATCTATTTAAAAGACATTGCTATATGAGATCAAAATAATATAAAAAAATGAACAAGTGCAAATAATTTTAAATTGTTGGGCTTTTTTTAGCTACATTTACTTCGATTTTGAACAACATTGAATTAAAAAAAAAAATAATAATTTTAAAGAAGTCAAAACAAGTACTACAATATTAAATTGTTTTCTACAATTTGAAATTGTTTTAACAGCAACATTGTAAAAATTTGTTGTTTTTTTATACCCTGCACCTTCGGGTATACTCACTTTTGCTCAGCGTAAAATTCTGCGTTGATTTAAACATGTCCGTCCGTCATTCGTCCGATCGCGCATTACTCAGAAACAAAAAATGCAATCGACATCAAACTTTTACAAATTGTTTCTTTTCTGGCAAGCACGGCAACTATTTGAATTCGGGTAGTTACCATACAACTCAAAGAGGTTTTTTCAATATTTCAAAAAGTAATAGAGAGCAAATTTTGCAAAGATGTGTCCAATTACACTTCACATATGTTTTGAAAATTTTAATGGAATGGCTGCACTGGTTCTGGTAGCTGACATACAACTTTAAAAGACAATCTTAAATATTTGAAAAATAATAAAGTTAGATTCATGAAACTTGGCAGCCGTGTGTACAATGGCAGCTCACATATACTTCTGAAGTTTTGGTAATATGAGTTGACAGGTTCGCGTAGCTGTCATACAACTGCAAAAGACAATTTTAAATGTTTGGAAAAATAATAAAGTCACATTTACTAAATTACCTGTGTCTAATTATAGGTCACATATATCCCTGCAGTTTTGGTGGAATGGCTTGACAAGTTCGGATGACTGCCATACAACTCCAACAGCTAATTTTAAATATTCGGAAAATAAAAAGCCTAGATTCATGAAGCTTGGCAGTCATGAATCCAATTGTTGGTCACAGATATTCCTAAAATTTTGTTGGAATGGCTAGACAGGTTCGGGTAGCTGCCATACAACCTCAAAAGCAAATTTTAATTATTTGGGAAAATAACAAAGGTAGGTTAATGAAATTTCACAGTTGTGTGTCCAATTATAGATCAGACATATCCATGCAGCTTCTATAGAGTGGTTTGACAGGTTCGAGTACTTGGTATACAGCAATTAAAACTTGGTACTTCAAAAACAAATTTTAAACTCAGATTGCCAAGGTGCAGGGTATAATTCGATCGGTTTATACGGACTGAAACGTTTTCACTCGTTTTTTGTTAATTTTACTTTTCGACATTTATAAACATAAGTATATATAAAACAAAATACAACACAATAAATGCTGGAGCTTTATAAATTCCGTTTATATAAGTGTTCTATAAATTCATGAAATGTCAGAAATTCATGAATTCAACATATATATTGTTCCATATAATTCCACATAGTACCATATGAAATATGGAAATCATAATGAAATCTAATGTACAAATTCTTTACATTTCTATTTTACGTTCCTAAATGACATTAAAAATAACAATAAATGTGTATAAATAAGTATGTACATATAATATAATAACTAGGGACATGTATTCAGAAGGGTGTACAAAAGTCTTCATACAAATAAATATATGTATGTGAATATTATGTTTATTATATTGTACTTTAATTATGTGTCTTGTATGTTAATTGTACATATTTGAAAAATCGTAAAGAAAAATTATCTTTAAAAAACCAGAGTTTTCGTACCAGTTCATTCTATATCACACGCTTAATATTAACATTGTTTTTATTGTTGGATAATATATTTCCATAGCAAAAAGTCATTTTCATACTTGCTTACATATTTATATAGATATCAATGCATATATAGGTAATAGCATATTATATATAGTTTGTTTTTTTAATTTTATAAATAATAAATTAACGTAAACATATATACATGTATATAAATATTTATGCATATATGCATATACTTGTGACAAAATAAGGAAAAAATCATATTTTTTCTCCGCATGTTTTATTAACTGAACAATAAATTTTCAGTTTGCCATCAACTTTCATTACGTTCTGGACTATATTTGGGTTTCATTTAAGAATTGCAAATTAAAATGAATATTTTGAAAAAAAAAAATTTGAGTATAAGCGGCCACATAATATATTTCTGCATTCGATTTAAATCGAATTCAGCTGAAAATGATTTAAAGAAAATTCTTTCATCACAAATTAGTGAAATCAAAAAAAATGGAACATATAAATCTGAAAGGATCATAACGTCAGCCCAAAATACACAGATTAGCGTCAGTGGTACTAAGAATTCAGTATTGAATTTTTGTGCTAACAATTATTTAGGATTATCAGTAAGCTAAGAACAAACACATTTTTTTACTTTATAAATATAATTTTTTTTGCTCTTATGAACACATACATATGTATATATAATTGAATATTTTAAATTTACCTCGATCTTTCGCTTTCAAAAAATTAACAAGGTCATTTCATACATTTAAAAAAAATTTTGAAAACAGTTTGAAACTATACCAGGTACTAAATAGATTAATGTAAATGTTCAAAATGTATTCATCAAGAACTTTTTAAATTGTATTAGAGCTCTCAAATTCGGTAGACAACACTGTTTTAAACTAAATAAACCATAACATATTTTACAAAAGAAGATTTTTAAGAAGATATTTTTATTTTTTAAGTAAAACGTTGATTGACTCAGTAATGTTCTACATAAAAAAAATATATAATAAACAAAATATGTTCTACAATATTAAACCTGTCTAAAGAGCAATTGCACTACGATTATAATAAGGTAGCATGACCTTGAATTCACGCACACTTCGATTACGATGAAAAAATAGATATTTGAAACTTAAAACTCGGTGTTATTAATTAACACCACATATATTAATTATGTTTATTTTTTTTACAACAATGTATTCATACAAATTTTCATTTTTAATGCAATTTTGTAAATTTTTTATTTTAGAACAATAAAGATATTATAGAATTCAGTAAAAATGCTCTTAATAAATATGGATGTGGCTTAAGTTCAGTACGTTTTATATGTGGTACACAAGATATTCATAAAGAATTGGAAGAGAAAATTTCAAAATTTCATCAACGTGAAGATGCCATTGTTTACGCTTCATGTTTTGATGCCAATGCAGGTATATTTGAATCTATATTAACACCAGACGACGTTGTGTTATCAGATGAATTAAATCATGCTTCGATAATTGATGGGATACGTTTGTGTAAAGCAAAAAAATTCCGTTATAAACATTGTGATATGGCAGTATTAGAAGATTTACTTAAAGAAAATTCAAGTTCAAGAATTAAGTTAATTGCCACTGATGGTGTATTTTCAATGGACGGTAATATTGCACCGTTAAACGAAATTTGTGATTTAGCTGATAAATATAATGCGTTAGTATTCATTGATGAATGTCATTCAACAGGATTTTTTGGTAAAACAGGACGCGGTACTGAAGAATTTTTTGATTTAAAACAACGAGTTCATATAATCAATTCAACACTAGGAAAAGCGCTCGGTGGCGCTGCTGGTGGTTATACAACTGGTCCAAAAGAACTAATTGACTTACTAAGACAAAAATCAAGACCTTATTTATTTTCTAATTCATTACCACCACCAGTTGTAGCTACTGGTATCAAAGTTATGGATATGTTAATGAATTCCAATGAATTGCAAGAACAAATAGCTGAAAATGTTAAACATTTTAGAGAAAAAATGGCGAAGATCGGATTTGTTATTGGTGGGCAAGACCATCCAATTTGCCCCGTTATGTTAGGTGATGCAAAACTAGCTGCCGAAATGGCAGAGGAAATGTTGAAAAGGGGAATTTATGTAGTCGGCTTTAGTTATCCTGTAGTGCCAAAAGGAAAAGCTAGAATTCGTGTACAAATATCAGCTGCACATACAATTGAAGAAATTGATAAATGTATTAATGCATTTACTGAAGTTGGAAAACAATTAAATGTCATTTAAAATTTCAATTATATAAGTATTAATAAATTTAAAATAAACACATTTATCCGTGGTATAGAATTTATAACAATGTAATGCAACTAAAAATATATTTTTATCCATCTACTTGCTTTCCTACCATAACTTTTTAATATAAACAGATTCAAGTTACTTGTTTTCAACACATTTTTATTTATGCAAAGATTTTTCACAATATTTATAAGAAATAACGTCGGTCTGCGGTAATATTAAAAACACATATACATTTTGAAATTCACTTTCCTAACTACTTTAATTTTAATTCTATTATAATGAAATTTAATTATAATTAATTTTTATAATAAAAATTATTATATGATAATGAAAGCCAAAATCTAGTATGATTTGTGTACTTATTATACACAACTCATTGAATTGAAATTATTAATATGTACATAGAGTAGCTCCCACTCGTATTCATATAACGAAGCGCAATTTGATTTTTTTTCCAAATGAATAAATTACTACAAATTTTTCTTAATTTTGGTTTTTTTACAAAATTGGTTGCTTATCATTAAAATTGAATCAAAACAAAAAAAAAATAATATTTGTTTTTGGAACTATTCAAGAAAAACAAAAACAAGGAAAAAAAAATGCTCACAGTCATATTCGTACAGTTACGAGTATATAAAGGCACCAAAATTCTTGGAAACAAATTGTGCAATGTTTGTTTTGATAGTTGTTAATCATTTTCCTTAGTTTCGATCAATAATTAAAAGTGTTTGAATACATAATTTTTATTGCGTTTTAACGAAATATATTACTTTTATTTAAACTGTGGACAGGAAATCGAAAGAAACTTCAAAAGAGTTATGGAAATTGATTGTAGCTTATTATAAAAATTTAGTGGAAAGGAGTCGTTCTACAATTATGTATATTATAAAACGTTATAACGATGAAAATAGAATACAGAATAAGCCACGAAATTTAAATAGAAAGCTATTAAGCAACTGAGATAAAAGCATTATTATCCGAGAAATTAAAAATAACCTAAAAACAAGTGCTCCTAAGCTAGTGGAAATAGTAAAAACTCAACTTTCAAAATGTAAGGCCAGAAACAGTTCGATAGACTATTAGAAAACATGGTTATGATGGTAGAGTTGCGAGAAAAAAAATTTTCAAAAAGAAAAATAGGTTGAAGTGCTTAGAACTTGCAAGCCAGCACAAAAAAAAACAAAATTTTGAGTTTTAAAAGCACGTAATTTTTATCAACGAAAGTAAATTTAATGTTTTTGGTTCTGAGGGCAGACAAATTGTCAGACAAAAATTTATAACCAACTGTAAAACATGGTGGAGGTTCAGTGATGGTGTGGGGGTGTTCTCAAAAGGTTCAAATTTTATTTAGATAATGATCCCAAGCATATATGCTTATAAAATTCGATCACGGTTACTTTATAACTTTCCGAACGTTGTACAGACACCTCCCCAATCTCTGGATATTGATCCGATTGAAAATTTATGGCAAGAATTAGACAACCGAGTTCGTAAACAATAAATAACAAGTGTAACAAAACCAAATTAGTGGAAGAATGGCGTCAAATTTCGGGTAACATCACAAAAAACCTTGTTGAATCAATGCCAAACCGATTAAAAGATGTCATTGGGAATGAGGGCTATGCAACAAAAAACTAGACTTAAAATTAAATTAAGTTTGTGCTTTTAATAATATAATTAATGTGATGCTGTACGAATACGACTTTGACTTGAATTTGTTCAATGATTTTTAATAATATTTTTTTTAACAATTTTGTTTGTTAAATGTAACTACTATTATTAAATAATAAAACCTGATTAAAATATTTGTAAAATATATTTCACATTTTCTGTTTTATTAAATAGAATTAAAATATGATTCCTATACGAATATAAGTGGGAGCCACTGTACATATATGTAAAAATTTTAATGTTTCATTTTAGCCATTGTATCACAAAAAATAATCAACATTTAGTACCAGTATGCTTTTAGATTGAAATCAAATATTAAAAGAAAAGGACATAATCAAAAACATAATTTAAAATCATTACATCTGAAAGATGATTAGGGCTTAAGAACTGGACAAGAAAAATTACGAATTAAGAACCGAACAAGAAAGATTAGAGCTTAAGAACCGAACTAGATTCTCAATATCATTAGAGTTAAAATTTACATAAGGAAAAATGACAATACTTAAATAGCCTAACAACTAGACTTACAAAGGAATTTTTTTAAGAACTAAATTCTATAAGTTTTATAAAAAATACTTTATGAGAATTAAAATTTTTTATGACTTGCTGAAAGTAGTTTTGCTATGAGACTAGCAGATTTTTTAACACTTCAAGTGCTAAGTCTTTATTATAAGAACCTTTCGAGAGTTGCATAAAAACCAAAAAAAAAACAAAAAAAAATTATGAGAGTATTGGAGTGTAGTATCAGAATTTTATGAGAGTTTTGGTTAACTTTTTAAGGTGTTATTCTTGAAAATTGTTACTTGGGTTACTAAGAGCCAAATGTATTTTCTAGGTATGATAACTAAAGGACTACTAACTTCTTTAAAATTGGAAAAAAGGTATTTTCATTGTGCAACACAAGATAACAAATTACAATGCACATAGGCAAATATGTTTGCAAATTGACAATTCATGTTTTAATGAAGACTCCAAAAATCAATGATCTAAAAAAAAACGTCACTAAAAAGTGAGTATTAAAAACCTAGTAGTCAAAAATATTATCAATTTCGATACTTTAAAATATGTAAACCAAACTCCAAATTCATATTCCTCAAAATTATATAACAACACGTAAAATTAGAAGTTCACGAAATCATTAAATTTATATCATCCTGGTAAAATTTACAAAAAAAACACGTTAGAAAACAAAAAGGTGGGGAGATTTCTTCGTTTTGAAAAAATAAGCTGTGCTAAAAAGGCAGCTGTTGAGATATTAGCCTCGTTTTACATTTATTTACTTGAGTATTAAGAAAAAGTGTAATCTGAATTTTATATGTACATATGTACGTGCATGGGGATTGGTACTTAAAATTTGTAAAATAACTTTACTTCCATTTTGAAAAATTATCAAAAATTCGGCCACTTATGTTGTTACGGAAGAAATAAATGAAATTGTTAAAGGTATATCTATACAAAAAATATAAAATTAGCGTTGGGAAATATTTAAAGTTTATATTCAAATATTCAATTAATATCGACAATTAAGGTATTGGTAGACTGATATATCCAAATCATAAATATCGAGTATAAATATCGCGGAAAATTCAACGATATAATAAAGAAATATTTCGATATTTTAGTAATATTGTCTCAATGAATAGATTAAATCTATTAATTGAATTAAAATCCCGTAAATTAAATCCATTAATTTGTTTTGAAGTATATCTGGGACTTCCTTCTATTTAAAAAATTTCTGGAACTGGAAAAGCAAAAATATTAGTTTTTGAACTTCAAAAGATTCTCTTTGATACGTTTTTACTGTTATTTTTTTTAAGTGTTAAAAAAAAATTAATGTTAAAAATAAATGAAACTTATATATGCATCTCACATGGTGATAAATTCTAATCTCAATCAAAGCTCTTATGGTGATAAATTCCAAGTTCTAGTTCGTACAAATTGTGATACTGTCACAAATTGACCATAACCTGTTATAATTAACCTGATCTAATAAATAAAAATTTATTACTACACGTGGAAAACAGTGATACTATAAAAACATGTCATCAAAAACAGATTTGTACTCACAATAATATTGCTTCTATATAAAAAATCGCAAACAAAATAATTAATTGTTATATGTACTTTATTTCAATTCATCATTAAGCCCACTTGGAATAAAGAATTTCGCAAAAACAAAAAAAGTATGTGTGGTAAAAAGTATATACTAAAATTAATTTAATTGGGGTTTTAATAATTATTATAACCAAATATAATACAAGCATTTTAGAAGCAAAAGAAAAGCAAACGTTTATAATGTGGCAAAGTCTCAAACTTCAATTATTTTGTAGGAAACTTTGTAAGAAGATTTTGCTTTTATGGATACTATCATTCACTTCTAATTTAATTTAATCAAAGTTATGTTTGTCTGTTTTTGTTTTTTCATGAAAAAATTTATTAACTGCGACTTAAGGAAAAATTTTGAGATTTATATACATATGTGTATATATTTATGAATGTATAAAGCTAAAAATTATATCTATACATTTATGTATTTATGTATGTAACATAGTTCATGATTTATATAATATTATATATGCACATAGCTTATGATTAAATTGTTGTACATACATAAACGTATATGGCGAATAGCAAAATAAATTTGGATCACACCAAAACCTTGAAGGGTAGCACCTTCACGTAATGACCACTTGAAGGGGGCCTTTCCGGTATGAAATTCGCGAATGATGCAATCCACAGCGAACTTTCACAAGTTATTTTTTTTTCTCAACGGCTGTTGTGAATGAAACTCGGCAGTCGTGTGTCTAATTTCAGGTCAGATATAATCTTGAAATTTTGGTGAAATGACTTGACAAGTTCGGGTAGCTGCCGCTGCCATAGAATTCCAAAAGAAAATTTTTAATATATTTGGAAAAATATTAAAGCTAGATTCATGAAGCTTGGCAGTCATGTGTCCACTTATAGATCAGACATAATATCCGTGAAGTTTCTATTGAGTAGTTTGACCGGTTTGAATTAGTGCCACTCAACAATGAAAGCTAATTCTAGATTTTTTATAAACACATTTTAAACTCAGATTGTTAAAGTGCAGGGTATTATTTAGCCGGGTTATGAAATATTTTTGCCTAAATATAAAATAGCTTAAAATAAAATTGGAAATTTTTATTTCGTAAAGAAGATTTGCTGTGAAGTGATGTTTCTATTAAACGAGTTCGAATATATGTAAAAGTAAATGGAGACTTTTGTTGTTTGAAAATTTTGCGAATGTAACCGAGTTGTATATAACATAGTATACAGACTCGGATAACAAATTTAACTGTAATTAAAAACAAAGCGCTCATTTTTCAAATTATTTTTATAA